ACAGTGTTATAGGGGGTCGACTGTATTATAGAAAAACTTTATAGGAATACAAATAACATGAAAATATGATACGCAGTACATTTAAATAACGTAAACAAGTTGAAGCAACTTTAATTTCGAAAATCAATAAATCTAATTAAATATTGAAATTTTAATTATAATTATAGCCGCAGGGAGGCTTTTGAAAATAGCAATTAAAATTTCCGTATTTTTCTGTGCGTGTGTTTGACAGTATATAATTTACATTACATTTTTTAAAATATCAAGTCGTGACTATTAGTTGAGTGGATTTCGTGACAACAGTCTTACACGATAAACGATTTTATCCCAATAATTATATTTTTCGTTTCTGTTCGTGATTATTGGCAGGCAATTTTAAATTTATAAAGTGAATCAATAGAACGTTTAATATAGTCGCATCATAAAAAACACATAAAAATTTTGATAGGAAAACAACTAACAAAATGGCTTCCATTTTCATTCCTGTTCAGTTTAATGTTTTCTGAACAAAATATAGAGTTACGGGTTGACGTCTTTAGAATTGCTTTTGTTAAGTTATGGCAACAACAATTGGGCGATCTGCCTTGGGAATGCCTTCCAAGAGGCCTTTTAAGGAAAACTGGCACCTATTTAGGCGTTATAGACGTAAAGAAAACCCGAAAAATCCACGTGGCCTGCCCGTCCGAACGAAACCACGACCGAACTCCAAATGTTCAGGGTACGAGGACCCTGACTGGTGGGCCTTCTTTAAAATTACTTTATTTAGAGTTCAAGCAAGTAAAACAACTAGAAATCTCAAAATTCTTCGAGGCAGCTGTAAAATGTTTATATAAATCACTACAGTTATGCCTACAATGGAAGGCCCTAACTCGCAATGGGGTTCACCAATTTGAGAAGGGAGAAACATATACTGCCTATGATAAACTGTTTTGGTTTAGGCCTTGTTCGTATCCGGATNGAATTTTAGGGAGAAAATTGTGAATTTCTTGAAAAAGGGAATTTTAGAGAGAAAATTGTAAATTTCTTGGGGAATAAAATAAAATGAATGAAAAAATTTTTAGAGAAAACTATCAATTTTAAAGAAATAAAAGAAAAGCTTCAAAAATCAAGTAAAATTTTCAAATTTTAAATAAAAAAAAGGAAAAGTTAAAAAAGATTAAATAAAATTTTTTATTAAGAATATAAAAAATATTATAAAAAATTCTAAATAACACCAAAAAATCTAAATAAATTACATTAAAAAAGAAAAAAAAATTGTAAATTACATGAAAAAATTCAAAAAGATTTTTTGAAAGGAATGAAATTACAAGCTTGTAAAATAGATTTTTAAAAAAATTCAAGAATAAATTTACTTACAGAATTTAGAAAATAAAAAAATATTCCAAGTAAAACAAACTCTAGCAAAAATTCAGAAAAAAAAATCATTATTCAAATATATTAAAAACATGATTTAATATTCAAAATTTAATTAATATTTTATCGGTTGCATTTATAAGGCTTTTGACTTTTATCTTTTTGTTCTTTTGTTATTGCGTGGGATGATTTGTAAAGGAATACCGGCTTTGACTATTTTTTCCCTCCTCTTTTATTATTTGAGGCCATTAACGTCCAGGTTTTCTGACTCATTGATCCTATGAATATCCTTGGAGATTAATCTTCCTATGTCCAGGGAAAATAAAATTGATATCTATGATGAGATACCGCAAACAGGTCGGAACTATGACCAGAATGAATCGCTTGTGTTTACTGTTTAGCTTTCTGGTTACGATCCTGACAAAGGCGAAGCAATTCTACGACAGAAAACAAAATAACATATATATATATAGGAAGAAGTTCGAGCTGAATTTCGGATAGAGAGAAGACGAATCGATAAGGAATTCTGTACAGAATATTAAAGAAAAGTCAAATTCTTGCTTTATTTTGTGTGGTTATAGAAGTTAACGAGACGAGACACTAGTTTATTCCTTTGTTTAGTCGCTTTAACTATCTCAAGACTTTGTAATCATCATAAATGCATCAAATATATGTTTAAAATATAATTAAAAACCTTATAAATGTAAGGCCTAAAAANACGACAAAACTTTCGAATGAAAAAGTAATACAGTAATAAATAATTAATAATTATTTCTTTAAATTTTTATTTTTTAATTAATTAATTAATTAAATTATATTTTATAAATTTATATAAATAGAGTATGATTTTAATTTTTATTTATTACGGTTGCAATAATCGATAACAGATGGAGCCAGGTAAGAATATAATTTTATAGGCAAAAATTGCGTGTTGTTTTTTTTTAATAGATTAAATGTTTTAAAAAGTAATTTTTTATAAATAACTTTTTAAATTACTTTTATTAATTTAATTGTTATAATTTTATATGTTTAAACTTTCTATATAACTGCTTAACCAATTTTTATCGGTAAGTTATCGCCACTAAGTGACGTACATAATCGTCATAGTCACGTGGATTTATAAACAAATCACGTGATGCGTTATTATACAGTCGACCCCCCTATAACACTGTTGATTATTCCGTTTTATATGAATTCCATGTTGTACGAGTCACTTAGATTTTACAAATACGTGAGTCGTTCACAGCCCGGCACCTGTATTTGTAAAATCTAAGTGACTCGTACAACGTGGAATTCATATAAAACGGAATTATCAACAGTGTTATGGGGGGGCGACTGTATAATAACGCATCACGTGATTTGTTTATAAATCCACGTGACTATGACGATTATGTACGTCACTTAGTGGCGATAACTTACCGATAAAAATTGGTTAAGCAGTTATATAGAAAGTTTAAACATATAAAATTATAACAATTAAATTAATAAAAGTAATTTAAAAAGTTATTTATAAAAAATTACTTTTTAAAACATTTAATCTATTAAAAAAAAACAACACGCAATTTTTGCCTATAAAATTATATTCTTACCTGGCTCCATCTGTTATCGATTATTGCAACCGTAATAAATAAAAATTAAAATCATACTCTATTTATATAAATTTATAAAATATAATTTAATTAATTAATTAATTAAAAAATAAAAATTTAAAGAAATAATTATTAATTATTTATTACTGTATTACTTTTTCATTCGAAAGTTTTGTCGTGATTGATAGAACGGAAACAGTTTTAGGTCAACGGCCTCTTATTGATGACGTCACTTCCTCACGATTCAGACACTCTGACGTCAGATGGTCCAAAAATGATATATATTAAATTAAGTACATACACATTCTCCTATACGAAAGGATAAAATAAGTTTGATAAATAAGAAAATCGAATCGATAATTCGCAAACCGTAACTTTCATGGTTAGATTTTTACAGATATAAACGATAGTTAGAAGCCAAAAAAATATACAAAATGAATTTGTATCGCTTCTAATATGTTTTGTATAACCGCTTCATTGATTATATACAGTTTGGTTTCCTCCTTTCCAACTCTAATGAGTTTGAATCATGTAATGTGTGTGCTCTTCACTACCGCATTATTACTTTCGTCTATGTTAGATAATGATGTAAATATCTTCATTATCAAAATAATGGAATATAGAAAGTATAAATTATACTTTTAAGATGTTAATTTTAACATTTTTTGCTTAAAAAAATTAGAATAAAATATTGTAAAACGAGATGCGATACGACATTATATAGCTATTATAGTTACTATACCGTTACTTAAATTTACTTCATCTTTTAGTAATCAATAAAGTAAGATGTAAATTACATTTTCGATATTATATATATATATATCCCTTTAGATAGTAGTTAAATAGACACAGTATCAGATACTGCATCACTTCACTCTCTTGATAACAATACTATCTCACACAACAAATTAATATTCATTATCATATATAACAATAGTAATTATTTCATGTATTATAGGCTCATTTATCATTGAAGAATAATGTAAACATATACGTTTAAATTTACATTTATTCTTAAATTTTCTATGTTAAGTAATTGTTACTCAATGCAGCAATATTGAGTATCGTAAAGTTATATTACACTACGTTATTGTTGCCATTTTATGCCCTTTCTTGGGCGTCAATAGATTTAAAGATCGTGTTCTGGATAATTTCTTTGTAAAATAACACTAAATATTACCCGTAATTACTCCGTTTTGACAGTTCATTTTGTACGGTAACTCATTTATGAATTATATTCCTTCGCAATAAGGGCCCCAGAGTCGTATGTTAATAAAGTGAGATGGGGCCCGAACTAGTTACGAAATGTGAGCCTTACTTCCTCCGAAAGCCATAAAAGTATACGAATAAAATTAATAAATATATCCTATACTTTACATAAAAGATTAAACTTTGATTTTGGGTAGGGGCCTGGCTAAATTGTCTAGTTACACCAATAACACTATTTGATCCGGTGTGTAGACTTAAAGGCTAGGTATTTATAACTGTAAACTATGTCCAGGCTTAGGTAGAAAGCCTGAACACAGTTCGCAGTTGTATAGCAGATTTAACTTAAAGAAACAGTATCATTGAGTAGTTAATTATATATTTTCCTTCTTACAACTATTGCAAATGAAATTGTAAGAAGATTTCCTTCCCTGTTACAATTTAAACAACTCTTTTGTAACTCAATTTGTAAGCGTGAATAAATTTAAATCTCGCAACACGTTCGTTGGCAATAAAATCCGACTGTGTGTCTACCCTCTCTAGTGTTAAACTTTACAAATGCAACAGGACTTAGATGGAGTCATTGACTGACCCCAATTTTGACCATTTTTCTTGTATATTGTTATCTATTTATCATCTTTTTCGCAATTTTTTTAATGGGTCGGGTGGTTAAAAACAGAAAACTACTCGATACACATCGAGCTATATACAGATAATTGATATATAATTCATACAATATCGTCGATTATCTTCTAGTTTATGTCGCGCTCGATAGAGGCGCTGTCTGTGATGACGTCATTAACGATGACAACCCCTATTTAAGTTAGTGGCGAGAGAGTAAGAGACATAGAAGCGCTCTACTATACCGGAGGTAGGTTGCAACCGCGCTTTTTACGGACGGATAATTTTATTTCTATCAAACAAACGGCTCAAAATTTTAAAAATTATTAATTTCCACACTGTTTTCTTTTAAATTACTCAAAAAGATTTAATTTTATAGAATATAACGGAATATAATTATATACTATTAAGAACGTATACTAAATTAGGGAATTGTGGTTGGTAACTCGCATGAATGGTAACATAAGATAGGTATTGATTAAGATCGATATATGCCGAATCGGCATGTTTCTCTGTTTTCTAGAAAAAAGAAAAAATAAGAAAATCCCATTTGACGTCAGGTTTCCATAGAAACTTATTGAGATTCTCATTGAAAACTGTTCAAAAGTCGTAGACTGAAAATGGAATTAGAAGTATCTAAATTTAATGTTAGTTCGATATTGTGTAATATATAGTTACTATCTATTTTTATAACTTATAACAAGGCGATTCTTGTAGAAAATACTCTTATTATGAAGTAGTTCGTGTAAAAAAAGAAAAAAAAAATGTACTGTACTTCTCTTCCAGAAAAGAAGAAGAAGCAACAAATTAGATAAGACGAAAACCCTTAGATTTTCTTTATTAAATTGCTTAAGAACACGATAAAACTTGATAATAATTTAAAACAATCATCGTAAGTATTTAGAAACAATTAAATTTCTGTTTAATCGAGGGGGGAGTTCTTGTTATACTAAAACTCTCAACAATTCCCAGTATACGTCCTGTAGATTCTTCAGATGATTGAAAAGTTCCAGTAGTGGAATATTAATTGTTCTACTATTTAATGCTAATTAAAAAACAATTAACATTCAGAATGAATGCTAATTAAATATTCATCTCTAGTCGTTAATGTCAATTAAGATTTGCTGATTGATTTATTATAATGAACTTTATGATTTTGCTGAAGAAAGGATTAGGAAATTTAATTTCTTTCCACACTTTTTGGAATTTCTTTTTAAAGAAACGAAAAGAAAAAAGTCCAGAAAAGTTCATAAGTGTGGATTAAACTGTAAAAAAATCATTATTTTTTTTCTATTTTTAGATACAAATCCAATAATCTATCACGTAAAACTTTTTTTTTGCAATGAGGAGTTCATTAAGAACTTTCTTCTTGTCCGTAACTGTGAATTATTCTACGGAATTTAAAAAGAAAGCACATTTCTATTTAACTGTAAATAAATACAGTTAGATAGAAATCCATTAATCCAAACTGAAAATTTATATATAAAGAGTTCTTAGAATTGTAGATTTCTGTCTAAGAAGTACTACAATAGACTGGCATTGGTAATAATGAAGTGCATTAACTGGATAAGAATCCATTAATCTAAGAACTTTAATGTATTCTTCTCAAAAATAAAAAACTTTATAATTAAGTAATAAAAGTTAAAAGGAAGTTCGTTATTTATTTATTTAAATTTGGTGATCGATTATTTTAGTTTGGTTTGTAACACACGTGAGCGATCTGCCGAGGGGAATGACTCCAGGGAGGACTTTTCTATGGGAAACTGGCCTCTATTTAGGTGTTACTAACGTAAAGTAAACTCTGAAAACTCCACGTGGCTAGCCCGTTGGTCAGGTACAAACTAATTGTTTTATCTATTGCCACTGATGGGCAACAGCTAATCCATCAATTTAAATACTAACTTCTTGTAATAATACTATTTCTTTCCTTTATATCGATAAGCAGATATTGAGAGACATCAAATTGGATACTAACGTTTCACTTTGAGTCAAACTGAAGATGTTCTATGTAATACTGTATAACCAAACACTAACACATAACAGGCCCTAACCGTAGAAGGGCCAGCAGGATCATTTGACCCAGACTCTCATTTACAGTGGCCTCAAAAAAACATTCGATGAAAATTATCCATTCTATTGCATTTCTTGTGTATTAAGTGGAACAATCATTCTTGCCAAATTTTATTATTTAAAAACTTTACACTGTGGGTCTTAAAAAGTTAAGTAGCCCTCCCTTTCTAGATCTCTAAGAGGTCCTAATAGAGTACTTTAATATTAAAAATTTGGAGGGTATTAACCTCACAAATAGGAGTCCATAACATAATTAGATTTCTTCCTACTGTATCTATTGATATAAAAAAAACTTCTATTCTATTAGCAACGTGTATCCATTCTTTCTAACCTTCAAGAAGACCATTAAACTTTACTAATGTCTTTTTTTCTAGGTATGGCTCCATTAATCTAAAGCAGAGCATCGATCGTGCTGACATGATTTATTTAGAAGATCAACCGACGACCCCTACCTATGCTTATCCTTTGGAAAGACACCAAGTGGAAACCACACTCGTCACCATCATATGCATTTCTACCATTGTGACTAATGCCATTGCCATCTTAAGTGTGGCAACTTCGGTATTCCAAAGAGAATCTATCGATTATTACTTACTTTCGTTACTAGTCTGCGACCTGTTATGCGGTATCTTCATATTGCCCCTTTCAATATACTCGGCATCCACAGGTGAATGGATTTATGGAGACTTTTTATGTAAACTTACAGGTTATATGGAAATCACACTATGGACCATAACGGTATATACTTTCATGTGGATGTCGGTGGATCGATATTTAGCCATCAGGAAACCTTTACGCTATGTGGTCCTACAAACTAGAACTAGATGCCAATGTTGGGTACTATTTACATGGTTAACATCCGTGTTTTTGTGCTCTCCTCCACTTCTAGGATTTTCCACAGGTAATTTTTACAAGGATGGTTACATATGTACTCTCGACTTGAAGAATATGATACCATACAGCATTACTCTAGCTATACTGGTTCTTGCACCAAGTGTTATAACAATACTGTATTCTTATTTTTTCATATTCATCACCATGTATCGTTTAAGGCAATACATGACTCAAGAGGAGAGAGAATATGCCACTGCAACTAGTGAAAATCTATCGAATCCCGATCACATGATGTCTTTTATTTTGACAATAGTTTTTTGGATCTCGTGGTTTCCATGGTTTGGACTTAGGATATGGGAAGAAGCCAATGGTTACCTCACAGATCACTATTATCATTTTTTCTTCCTATGGTTTGGAATTTTGGACTGCGTATGGAAACCTTTAATTTATGCCAGCATAAGCCCCAAATTTCGTATTGGTATGAGAGTATTTTGCACCAGTTTATGCTGCAGAAGGAAATTTAGACAACAATTAATAGTTTGAAGTCTAAACACAAATTTTAAATCAACCTTAAAAAAAATCCGGCCATGCACACACGTCACGTATTTTGGGAAGAGAAAGAAAAAAAAAAAAAAGCATAAAAGGGGTCGAACAACGATGACAAGTTGGAAGGAGGACAAAAGATAAAGATCTTTTTATACAAAAGGCAATCTGGATCTTAACCAAATTCGTCCACTCTCGTAATTCCGGCAACAAACACGCATTAAAACTTCTGAAAGGTTATTTATTTATTTATTTTTTGATACATCGCTTGAAAATTTTGGCAAGTGGAAAAGTCACATGGCCTATTTTGTAAATTGCCATCAGCGGATTCGATTATCGAAACACGTACCGTACAACGCGTGTACGAAGTTGATCGCCTTATAATCGAATTTGTACGACTTAAAAGCGACCGTGTACATTTTTTCTTTGTAAACTCAATGTATTTAGTTAATTTATTGATTTGATATAAGAAAATGTATCTTTGTTTTAAAACACACTCAAATAAACGACCATTTAAGTATGTTAGATGATTTACTTCTTTAGTAAGTGCTCCAACTTTGAATTGATCTCAAGAAAAAAAAATTCCCCATTTCATTTTCTATTTTTATTCTACAGAAATGCAATTATTCATAAAGATTTATTTTTAAATATTAAGATGGATCGAAATACATAATCAAAAATTGCTATTGATTAGCATATAATATTGATGGATTGCAAGAATTCAAGGAAGTTTGAAGTTATATATATATATATATGGCTATTTAATAAAGAAACCTGTCCACATTTCCTCACATCATTTATAATATCTTAAATATAATTAACTCCTGTAAATCTACATTAATAGCAAAGTTAATAAGGTTTTAAGATTCATAACTTGTAGCCCATTATAAAAATAAAACTAAGTCATTTTAATGGAATTTTAAGTGGTTTTATTTTATCTTATTTAATTNTTGGAACCTAACCCTCCTTTTCGTATTAGTTCTTTGTTTCGTATAACACGGATTCGCATAACACGGCAATTTTTTGCAACGTAACTACCGTGTTATATGGGGGTTACCTGTAATTTTTTTCCTTAAAAATGTATTTTTAGTCCGTTTTATGTCTAATTTAAGTGAAATTTGTATGTTTCTACTTGAAATTTAATCTTTAATGATAGATAATTAAAAAATTTACAAATTGTTCGTAGACGAAAACTTAAATTATTAAAAAGAAAAAAAAAAGAGTACAGGGTGGCCCAAAAATCAGTTAACGATGTATCGAAATTGGTTCAAATTTCCACCCATTCGGTTACGAAATTCTTCTAAATCCAGCTTACCATTCATTTCCATAAATTTACGCGCAATACACGAAACTGAACGTGGTTAACAGACTTTTGGATCATCCAGTATATTAACCGTCAACACTATTGACAGTAAATGTTCCTTCGTCTTGTGATTTTCATTCGTTAGGGGCCCATAACTGAGTTAACCGCTTTAAAAACCAGCAAATAAACTTACCATTCATTTTGAAGGATGCAACACACCCACACTTACAATACACAACCCCAAAACTATACGGTTAACTGACTTTTGGGTTACTCTGTATACGAATTTGCATCCTCGTTTAAATTATTCTCTTATAATTTCATTTGTTAGAATTTTCTATCAATAGGGCGGTCCAAAATTCGGTTAACTGTAGCCTAAAATTCGATAAAGGTACCCGCGATCCACTAGTTGAAAAACAATCCTTTATACAATCAACTATCATTTGCTGCCATCTAGTGTTGAAAACTCAAACTTAATTTACAGTAAAAATTTCATTAAGAAATTATATTAATTTAAAAAAAATATATATATATAATTTTAAACTTAATATAAAAAAATAATAAAAATAAAAATAAATCTTTAAAATTAACACGTAAATGAATTAACATATAAATGAAACGGATTTAATTAAATTCCAATTTAAATCGAGTTTTTATCTTAATTAATTCCGGATAAATTAAATTGTAGAAAACCTAAAGATATAATGGGATTTATTCTCCATTTAATTTATGTAAATTCGAGTTTTCCTTTTCATTTAAAATGATCAAATGGTTAATTCCATGCCAGAAACAATGGAAAAATCTGTAACAATGAGCAGTTTTGTATTGTAAAACTTATAGGACAATAAGACTGTAATATTTCCATCCCTTGGAGATGTTATTAAGAATTGAAATCTTTATTTAATCATTTCTCTAGGGTACCATTAAACCCCATTTTGATATATTTACAGAGAAGTACATTAAGTTTATAAGGGCATTATAAGCTAAAATATTTAAAAATTTCGGTAGAAAAATAATAATATAAAACATTTCATGGAAAAATTTAAAGAAAATAATCTTAAAAACGACATTTTTTATTTATTTTGTACAAAAATTTAAATATATTATTTATAAATTACCATTTTTTGGGGGTGGTTTCTATGTTAACGACGAGCTGCGACGCTAAAGTATCTCTATTTTAATAATTTTTAATTAAAATAACGTAGCTTTGACGTATTGTAATTTTAAATAAATTAAACTAATTATAATAGCTTTTTATTGTTTATTAAAACCGAAGTGTGTAGTAATTTTGGATATTTGCGACGCGTCGCGACGTCGCTTACAAGCGCGCCTTACCTGTATAATAAATTGTAGATTTTCCGCCTCGTTAAACTTTTCATTATTTTCGTTAAATTACCTAGAATTATTCTAAGAATTTTAATTTTTAAGTTTAAAAAACAAAATAAAATAAAAGTGATTCCAAGAATAATAAATTTAATTAAATTAAGTTAGATGAAAATTTGTAAGAATAAATTCTAAATTTCCTGAATAAAAAGATAATTTTGGGAGCAAATAATGACTTTAGAGAAATAAATAAAACTCCAGAATTAAGTAGAAAGGGAGATTTTTTCAAAAAGTTTATAAATAGCGGAAATTTTTAAGGTTAAAGGAAATTTTAGGGATAAAATTGTCAATTTCTTGAAAAAAGGGAATTTTAGGGAGAAAATTGTGAATTTCTTGAAAAAGGGCATTTTAGGGAGAAAATTGTGAATTTCTTGAAAAAAGGGAATTTTAGGGAGAAAATTGTGAATTTCTTGAAAAAGGGAATTTTAGGGAGAAAATTGTGAATTTCTTGAAAAA